CGAAATGAAATGGGCAAACGCTTCAGGTTAGCAACATATGCTGCAGGAACAGCTCTTGCTCATCCAATCAAAGGTACTTCCGATTAGCTAAAACTAAGTTGAATTAATCTAAAACTTCGTCACCCACTGGTTAAAAGCGGGTATTTATATCCAGATTAGACAAAATATGTGAAAAGCACAATACTACTACGTCTTATTAATATTAGTAATAACAGTACTTGGCTAAATAGTAGTCAACAAACTCTTGGCTTCAGCTTCGGTACACTTGGATCACTTCGCGAACGTGTTGCCGACACAGGGGGCATCGCGATGACGTGGACGTGATCCTTGTAGCGCATTGCATGCACAGGACAATGTGACCACAAGGCACACACACGGCGGACTGTGGCGCGTCAAAGCAAACCACGCAGTCCACGGCAGTAATTGAAGCATCCGGCTTGGAGTTGGCCAGCGGGGGCTTCCGGGGCGCGAGCGACAGCAGCTGGGCGATCACCACACCATTGGCGTCCTCGATGTCTATGTCTTCTTCAGGCGGTGGCGGCGCAGGAACGGGAGTTGGTGGCGCCACATAGTTTTGGTACGTATGGCACCGCCCGAGCGTCTACGATGGCATCACTCACGACCATCACAATTGAACGCGGCTACGATCCAAAGCACACACAGATGTATTCACTCACTTGGGTGTTGAATTGGTGGTCATGCGATAACGTCGGGTCTGATAGTTTGGTCACCTACCAGATACAACAGCATTCGATGATACTAGGTAGAAGAAGGAAATGACGTGTATGGCTACCGCGATTTCTACAAAGAAGGCAGCCCAGGCGTCCAAGCCAGCGGCATCGAGCGCTGCAAAGTCTACCCAGTCGAGGGTTGGGACGCTACTAGCTGCCGTCTTCGGCGCAGCCAGCAACGAAAACGCATGAGCTTTCGATGCCATGAGCCACGACGACATCGATGACGATGGGGTTTGCTGCTGCTTGACGAATGTCGTGGGTCGGTTCACAGGGTCGATCAGCACAAAGTACGAGGAGCTACAACCCCACCCCCCATTTGAATGGTCTGAGACAGCGTTGTATATGGCTTGGTACTAGTACCTTGGTACAGGGCCGCATCGAAGAGGGACCTCTGGCGATGCTGTTGCATACAGTGCCAGTTCCAGAAATAGACTGGAGCTTGTGCGAAACACCATCGCATGGCTGCACGTCCAAGATCGCAGGGAAGCAATGCCCACAACTCTCGACACAGCATTGTCTGTGCGCGTAAATATTACGTCTTGGTGCACAACCAGTCGCTGCCCATGTTGCGTTAGGTCGTGCCACGTCATAGGTTGGCTAGTATATGCACAGTACCTACCTCCTCCAACAGTTCGATGCAGGCAGCGATGTCTGCCATCGTCGACACCGCGCGGTCATCTGCTGCGTCGGAATAGGCTTCCCGAGCGGCGTCCAACGGACTCAATCCCTTGGCATTCAATGTGAACGGGGAGAACTGTGGCTGAGCCAACAGCAGTTCGACAACTCGCGGCTGGCCGTAGAGACACGCGTAATGAAGCGGGGTGTTGCCGCGATAGTCTCGACCGTACACATCGACACCATTTTCGACGAGCCAGCGAGCGCAGTCGACGTGACCTTTGCTGCAGGCCATGATGAACGCCGTGCGGCCCCGTTCTGCTTCCCGCCATTCCATTGCTGCAATGGACGAGATGCACAGGTCCTGCAACGTGCTGATGTCTCCATCTTTGGCGGCATTCCAAGCCTTCTCCTCTACGGAGCTCAAGATCCATCCAAGGGCACTTCCCATTGCAGTTGGACAAGGACGTTCAATAGCGAAGTGCTGCTGGCGGACGCCGACAAATTCGTTTGCTACTACAACGGTGCTCCTACAGCAATATCCGGAAAAATAATTGCATATCTAAATAACCAATGAAAACACGTATTGCTTGAATAAATAAATTCAATTGGTATATTAATTACGTTTTTCACCAATTGTAGAGCTTTACCGGATAGCTAATGGAAACGTGCCCATAAAGATATGTACAATCAGCACAATAATGGCAGACGGGAACGCAAGATCGAAGCAGCGACGCGACCACACCAGTGCGAAGCATAAGGTTCAGGATAGCGAGGAGGACGACGATGACGAGAAAAAGGATGACTTGGAGAGCAGCAGTAGTCCTAACAGCAGCAGTGTCGCCAGCGACAGCAAGGACCGGCGAAGTGAAGCCAACCCTCGTCGAACACCCGCAGGTGGCAGGAACAAGAGCGACGACAGCAGTAGCGCGCTGTCCTTGCCGCACTCGTTTGACGACTTTACACCTGGTTCGACTCCTGCTGTATCTCCAGCCCCCAATCGACTGCGAACCTTTGACGCCGAATTGAAGCGGCCGCCGCCCGTCCAGACGTCGGCCATGCCGTCGCAGTTCAATGCCACCAATGGACCACGGGTGCAAGATGCCATGCGCAAGTTCTACGAGCTGCAGGTAGACAAGATGCGAAAGCAACTGGCGGCGGTGTTGGAGGACAAGACTCAGACCCAGCGCCTGCTAGCGACCGAGCGGCAGACCCATGAGAACACAGTCACGACACTTCAGGTACACCATCCATGGCATCTTGGTTCTGATAGAGCTTCTTTGCACGTAGACAAGCTACCGCCGCGATGCTGCGCAATGGAAAAGCGACAAGGCGGCGTCTGAAGCGCGCATTGCGCTGTTGGAGCGACGATTAGTTGCCGAAAAGGCCAGCTTTGTCGAGCTTCGCGTATCCGATGCGTTGGCACAAGAGGTACGTCCGCATATACTCTCAAAGCAAATATATATATATATACGTTCGTGTAGCAATGTTTCCATATTGTTGCCAGTTATTATATATATATATATATATTATGGTAGGATCCCATCGCATAAAGTAGTGTGTCCTGCCTGTGAAGTAAAAAAAAGTAATTTCGCTACGTTAAGGCCGTCAAAGTCATTCAATATAGTTGAATAGGAGGGGTCGCTTCTGAAAGTGCATTGGGGCAGTTTGTTCTATTAGTATTATTTCGACGTTGTGGTTGTGTTCCTTGCTATATATATATATAAAAGGCATTAATTCATATATAAATATATATATATATATATAAGGCATTAATTCATATATATATAAATGAATAAGTGTAGCTAGCTAGTTTGGTGCTTATCGAGTATATATATATATTGCAACTGTATGTATACCACGTTAATCTATTGCTTGGGCTACGTAGTTTCAAAAGCAAGACCAGGACGCGCTGACGTTAGCCGAGTTTATTCAGATGCGCGTGTACGAACTCATCCAGCCCCACGTCGCAGCCGCCGATCGCGCCGCCAAAGAGCTGCATGACGTGGCATCCCGACATGCCGAGTGCGCGGCGACGGTCGCGGCGTTGGAGCGCACGGCGCGGATCGCAAAGCAGCAGCAGGACAAGAGTGACCTAGCGTTGCACGACATGGAGGTCGAGCGAGATGATGTTGCTCAGCAACTGGAGGCGGCCCAGGCGGCGTTGCTTGAGCAACGGCGGGTTGCTGTCCAGTCGGACGACGACGATGGCATCAATTGGAAAGAAAAGTTCACGGCCCTCGACTTGGACTTGATGCGAGCGCGGCAGCGAGCCGCCGACTTGCAGGTGAACATACAATCAGGGGAAAATATGTGAACCGTTGCTGGGCAATTATAGGTGGAAAATGAGCAACTGGCGCAAAAAGTGCAGCTGTTGAGTGTAGACAAGGCATATCTGGTCCAAGATAAGGAACTGACGGCGGAAAAGATTTTGCAACTGACCCGGGCGCTGGACGACGCGACCGCCACGTGTCGCCGCCTCGAGCTGTCCAAAGCTACATTTTTAGAGCAGATCGAGTCGACAAGAGAAGAAACCCGGTCGTTGTTTGAGGTAGAAATGCCACCAAAATATTGAATTCCTCGAAATATGAGGCGACTACTCAAGAGGATTTATATATATATATACATATACATATATATATAATGTACCTAAAGGTGTTTTTAAATTTAAAATATTTTTCTTTTATAATTTTTATATTTTGTGGTATGTTTATTTTTCCTGAAAAATTCGAATATAAAAAATATTTGTATATCTTTTTATTTCTGTCGAAGTACCCCTACTAGTTGTTCCAAAACTATTACGAACATAAATATTAATAAAAATACAGACGTAACTATATATATCTATATATATGTATAGAAACGAATGGAAGTCGAGCTAGCAAAACTACAAGACGCGTCTCGAAAAGAGATGGATTTGTTACGGGACAATGGCAAACAATTATACGAGCGGGAGAATCGGCTGCTGCGGGAAGCCAGACTCGACGCCCAAAGCCAACTCGATCACTTGCACACCAAAGTGTCCGAGCTGCAGCATGCATACGAAGACAAGGTACAGATTCGTTAAAATGCTTGTCTGAAATCGAAGTGTCCAACTGGAGCAGAGTAGAATCAGTAATTATGTAATGTTTAGGGGGCTCTATTTATTTGTATAACACCAATCGTATGATATATAGTAATTATTTATATTTTTATATATTTATCTATTTATTCGCACCAATAGTATATATATACATATATTGAATGGATAGAACGTATAACACCAAGACGGGTAGGTGCTGGAAAGCACGCGGGCGGATGCCAAGTGGACCACGGACGTGGCCGCCCTGCGCAATGATTTGAAAATGAAGCATTTTGAGGTACGAAAATAGACTGTTTTTGGTTATAGCGAAAGCGATATTGACAGGGATGTACTATGGGTTGTAGTTGGCTCAACTCGGTCGGCAATTCGACGACACGAGTCGGCAGCTGCATCAGTCGCATCTCGAAAACGACATGTACAAGCAAAAGGTAGTATATATATATATATATATATATATATATATATATATATATAGATAAATATTTGCAGTGGTGGTATTTTAATTCAAACAACAACCCAGGTGGACGCGCACAAAGCCGAGTTTGCCAAGCTGGAAGCCAGTACTGGCAAACAAATCGCACAGTTGCAACTGGCGGTGGCGGCCGAGGTGCGTTCGCTCGCTGAACTTAACAGCGAAATATATATTTATGTTTATATATGATTTTATTTTAAATACTATGAACAGCGAGAAAAACTGCATGCGTACGACAAGCTCGAAGTGGAAATGGACAATGCAATTTTGCAGTCGGGGGCGTTGACGGACGAAGCGTCGGCGACATTTGCTATGATTCCCACGGCGCCGAAACGAAGGGTAAAATTTAAATATTTTTCGTACTTTTATCGCAAAAAAATACTTATAATACCTGCTGGGTTTTGTAGTTTCAGCAAAGCGTGGCACTGGCTCAAAAACTTGTGCAGACCGAGCAGCAACTGGCAACGACTCGGCAGCAACTCGAATACATGGAGACGGAAAAGGCTCAAGTCGCCTCTGAATTGGCGGCCGCGCGACTTGCTGTGCACCACATGCATCAACCGCAACAATTTCTGGTAAATACATATATATATATCTATGGGTTGTCAGTACCAATATATGTGTGTGTATGGGTAGATTGAAAAGCTAAAAGCCAAAGACGACGAGGTGCAGACTCTACAGCGTCAAGTGACCCGGCTGGACGAGTCGGTTGCCCGACACCAACAAGAAACAAACACGCAACTGCAGGCCAAGCTGGCGTTGCAAAACCAGCTGCAGCTGCTTTTGAGCCGCCGCCATGAGCTCGATACACTCAAGGCATTTGTCCTCAAAGCAGCCCAGACTACTCCATCCACGGAGACTGGATCTTCTTCCCATCAGCAACATCCGCATCTCCAACCACCGCCAACACCCTTGGACACTAAGGTTCCGAAATGGTACCTCAAGCTACGGCAGCAGCAACCGACGACATAGCGTTAAACATGCTCCTAGTAAACGTTATACAATAGATTGTCCAGTCGAGTGTTTTTTAATAATTAAAAAAAGTTATATTAATAGTAACGTTAAACAATAGATTGTCCAGTCGAGTTTTTTTAATAATTCAAAAAAGTTATATTTATATTAATAGTACCGTTAAACAATAGATTGTCTAGGCGACTTTTTTTAATAATTCAAAAAAGTTTTATTTATATTTTCGTTAATACGTATGTCCATCATCTGCGGCATAATCCATTCCAACCCACTTGACGACATTTCGCTTCTTTGAGTTTGAATATCTCCAAGTAAAGTATGGGGGGCTGGCTTGTGTAGTGCCACAGCCCATCCCTGAGACACTGCAACAAGTCTTGCCAACTCTTTCGATCCTACTACTAGTACGTACTAACTACAAAGTAGTACATACTATAGAGCACATGTGTATGATTGGCATCAGTCGCTCAACATGTACTGTACTTGAATTACATGCCAAGGATGTATACACCAAGCACGGACATACTGCAAGTGATATCGGTGGAGACTGCGTGGTAACCCAGAATGGGGTCGTTGTACTGTTTGAAAATCTGACCAATTGTGTGGTAAAACATCCCAAACCAGCCTAGCGTGTGTCTTTCAATGTGGCTATCTATGCTGGTTGCCGTCGCCGCCAACAATCATAATATGGCCACAAAACACGCGCAGCCATAATTGAAGTGAAAACTAATTTACATTTAGAGAAACATACTTACATTTGTACGGGGGTTACACGATCGCAAGAGGGTTGTTGCTGGCTTTGACCAACTGAATCGTGTTGATCGGCGACGCCGGCAGCCCCCCCGTGTCTGGCCCAAGGTCGCAACCCGACCGCACAACCAGCTGCAACTGTCTGGTGGTGCGCCGCTTTCGTCGTCGCGACGTCACATCGTGGTCGCCTTGGTCGTCGTCGTCGGCGTCAAACGGCACCTTCCCAGCTATGTACACCCACAGCTTGACCAAGTTGCGCACAAGGCAGATGAGGATCACACAGCAGACGACGCCCACGACGCCAAACGCGACGGTTCGTTTAGTCTGGAGGCTGGTCGCGGGACTGGCCATCACCGCCACCATGGCAAACACAGCAAGGAGGCACAACTCCAAGAGCACCGTGGTCATGAGTTGCAGCGACGTGACGAATGGACGGACGGCGACGAGCAGCCCCATGTAGATAGCATGGACGCCCATGAGCCAAAGCGGTTGAGACGACGCAGTTGGGGCCAGAGCCACCACCGCGCCGGACGCGAGCTGGACCACAAGCGACACAGCACTAAACAGTCGGTGGTCGTAGTGCAAATTGACGTACAGCACGCCAAACATGGCTTTGGTGTTGAACTTGGTCAAGTCCACCTCGGACATGGAGGTGACGGCGATGGCTGTGCCGACGACGGCTGACACGACCGCGATGAGCGCCGCGAGCGACACCAAGCCCGTGAAGGACCCAAATCCGGACGTTGAGTGCACGTCTTGCATGCACTCGTACGCCGACAGCATCGACAGCGGCAGGATGCTCACAATGCCCCACAACACTGTGAACGCCAGCACGTACCGGGCCATGTGGTTTGCTGTAACATGGGGCGGTTGCGACGACGTTAACGACGACGACATGTGGGTCCGTTGACGACGGTGGTGGCGGCGGTTGTGGTTGGAAAGGCTGCGATGGAACCACGTGGTGCCGTTAACTTCTCGGTCGTGCAGCACGCGGGCGACCGCCGTGCATGCGATGGCGCATGCCATGAGGACAGCCAGGCCGATCAAGAAGAACGTCCAGGCGTGGAGAAACAGGTCCTTTTCACGGATCGAGCTGCGCAGCGCAAACTGTTGGATGCCAAACGTGTCGTAGACGGCGGCATCCCCATCATCCGTAGCCACAGCTTCGAGCCGCCGGGTACCGCCACTGGCAGCCTCGTGTCGGACTTGAAACTGAAGCCACGCCAAGGAATCGGTGAACGCGACCAAGACAGCGTGCGGCGCGTTCACGTTGGCAAACGACCCGAGCGCCACGCCCTGCATGAACAGGACAAATGTCGGCAGTTCCCAGGAATTGGGCGCCGTGAACGCGCCAAGCAGCGTCGCATCTAGGGGAACGTACGACGGATCGATCGCAATGGCATGGAAGAACACCAAAAACACGAGCGTGACCCCCACCACGGCGCTGAAAATGTATCGGTTGGTCTGGGTGTTGGGGGTTTCCGCGCCCGCGACCGACACGGGCTGCGACGCGGTGCCTTGGTCTGCAGGAGTACCAACACGTCCGGACATCGTTTTATTGCGCTGGGTGGACAGCGGGCGCGGTGCGGCGGCGGGCTCGGAGTAGTCTCCGGCGTCGGTGGAGGTGGTGGGTATGCCTTTTGAGGTGATTGTGGTGGTGGATGGGGGCGCGAGGTCCAAGAGACTGTCGGCCACCGTTGTCGCACGCGGCGTGGCGGATAAACTACTAGTACTACTACTATTAGCGTTGATGAGTTCGTCCACAAGTGGTGAGATGGTTTCTTTCGGTCGAGCGGTGACGAACGGAAGCGACGTCGTGACGGGCAATGTGGGGCGAGTTGTATCTGGGGGAAGGGTGGTTGATGGAGGTACTGGCGGTGGCAGCTTGGTAGTCGTCGGGGGGGAAGGAGATGGTGTGATAGTGGTGATGTTGGGAATACCAGAGGTGACTACAGGCGAAGGGGTAGCCGGTGGATCCGTGGTAGTTGAGGGTTCAGGTGTAGGAGCTGCCGTAGTAGTGGTAACGCTAGGGGTGGTCGTCGGCGAAGGGGTAGCCGATGGTACGGTGGTAGCCGGTGGTACGGTGGTAG